GTTCTCAATTATTAACTTACGCTTGTGTCACGCAATCGCCTTTCCGAGAACATCTCCTGCTAAATCAACGTTACATCTCGACAGTTTGTTTCCTTTGGCTTACATTTCCTGCGACCCTTTTTGTTACGGTAAAGAACCAAGCTTAAACGTTTGCATTGTTTCATAAACGTTAACCATAACCTCCATGATGGTTTTCGTATTATAATGTAAGAAAGCCATGTGATTTCCGAGGGGGTAAACAATTCGAAATCGGGAGATTTTGAAGGGTTTCTTTGAATATGAATGACGTTTTCCAAAGACATTCTATACCTCTCGTATGTTAGCAGGAAAGCACTCACTGGTTGATTTGACATTTTCCCAATTTTCCAATGTTTGTCCTCTTCTGCAAAAGGGGGGTGGGGTAGAAGGGGTTATTGCGTGATACGGGATTAAGTGGTTACAAAGTCCTGATTAAATATGGTGTATCTTAATATTTCTACTTTTTTTTCTTAATCTAATTCATATTTGCGTCACATTTTGGACCTCGGAGCGACATCGCTCCTAGCGAAACAAAATATTATTAAGAGTCCACAAATGTACCACAGAAACGCCGTCTACAGGGAATCATTTGAACGTGGTCTCATCACAGACCAGGAAAATCACCTTATCTATCCGGGGAGTGATTTAATCAAGAATTGGACCTATCCGTGGTACAGCATGCCTGGTGTGCATGTGCTATGCTCCAACGAGCTTGAGTTCACAAACTTTGGCGTGCCCGGAGTCTACTTCTAAAGAGATAGGGAGCACTTGATGAGACGAAGAGGTGTCCTGGACTCGTTTAAGACCTTTCGTGGTGAGCGTGACTTGGAGACTGATATAGTCGAGCCTCGATTATTTCCTCCGGTCCTAGATTTTTCATGAATACTAACACAGCATGATGAAGATTCCTAGAAACTATCGTTATGAATTATGTTTTACTTAGGGTTAGGCTATGGTTATATGTAACAGGTTGGTTTCCTTTCAGAGGGAACGTTTTCAGACCAAAGTTTTTGCAATCACTACCACATCGCATAAACTTCCAATTTCCTAGTTAATCCAGTTTTATTTTGTCTCATTAATTTTCATATTTTCGATTTCCTGGACTCTCGATTATGAGGACCATTTACTCCAGTCCCGGCAAGAGGTTCGACTGTAAATGTAAATAGCCGTGATAAAGGTGCAGCGGGCGTATACCATTCTGACTCAAAATTTCAACAATGGAAGGAGGTTGCTCGTTGAGATAAGAAGACGGCATAGGCGGAGATAATTGAATTTTTTTCATTTTTTTTTCACTTTTTTATTTTCTTTGTTTTTGTTTTTGTTTTTTATTGTTTATTTTTTAATTTTTAATGCAACACACACACAAAAAAACTCGCTACAATACAATATTTTACAGTTCACACTTCTTACATCGATTACATTGTTAACAGCAACTAAAAGAAAAGAAAATCAACTCATTACAGTACCAGTTAATTAACTATGATAATATTAACTTCACGAAAGAAACAAAAAACGAGGTAAAAAACAAACAAAACGAAAGGGGACAGACTGAACAAGGACGACAAAACTGTACCGAAGAAAATTTTTATAGCTTTTGGTTGCTGCTGCATGACTGGTGCATCTATTTACATATAAGTAACTACTCCCTCTTTTTTCAAAGGCTATTATTTTTGACATAAAATATAAATAGAACAAGAATTTACAGAAGAGCACATTTCTCAAGTTGCCACTACAATAAAAGTTTACTTTGAAATTCCTTTAGGGTTGGTTTCTTCTTAAAGTATTTGCAAGCGTAAGTATATTGTTTTAGTAAAATAACGAATAAGTGCAGTCTGCGTCTTGGGTAATCATTTAATTGCTGAAGAGCGGGTATATCATTGAAGGTTATTTGTTTATTTGAAAGACTAATATCAGTGTTATTTACACCGTTAAACCATATTATAAAGTAAAAGGACTGAGTCACAACGCAGCCTATAAAAGTATGTTCCATAGAGTCTGGATTAGGACAGAAAAAACATGTGTTATCATCGGCTAATCGAAATTTGAAGAGTTCTTTTTTGGTTACTAGAATTCAATGTAACAGCTTGAATGAGAACTGCCTTAGTTTGTTATCTCTTGTTGAATGATATATAAATGAAAATTTGTCTTTCCATTCTGTAAAGTCGTCGGCAAAGTTGATTTTCCAGGTTTTGATGCCGGTTGGCCCTTGTTAAGAATTTTATAATAATGTTTACAGCGCATGTTTGCTAGATCTACGGGTGTACTTTCAGGAAGCAAGGATACTGTAGTTGAATTTAGTAGCTGCTCATGTGAAGGTACTTCAGCTGATCTGGCTTTCTTTTTCAAATCGGAAGGGATGGCAGCCATGAGTTGAAAGTAATGAAGATAATTTGTTTTAACACTAAACTTGTTTTGAAATCCTTTGAAAGTTAAGAAATTCCCATCAGCATTTAGGATATCTTGAGCAAAAAAGACTTTCTTATTAAACCAAGATTTCCAAAATAGCACCCTTTTCTCGATGGTTATCGCCTCATTATTCCGAAGGAGGAAGTTGCCGTACGAAAATATTTTAGTCTTGTTCTTGAACTCTTGAAAATTCTGTGAAAGTTCCCGATAGAAGGTAGGTACAGTACATTATTGTTTATACAGGCAGCATCATGGTTACATTTTGAGAAGAAACTGTAACCCGCCATGTGTGGAGAGATAATGATTTGGGATTGCTTTCCCTGATTCTCGGGAATTACTCAGCTTATCCAAGCTAAGCGTAAAGATTTGACTACGGCAGGAAAATTAACAAAGTTAAGATCTCCTTCCGCAATGGGTTGATACATAACCAATCTCTTTATTTTGTCTTTTTTTTTTTTTTTTTTCCACAAGATATTGAAGAGCTCTACTTGGACGTTTTTTATTACTGAAGTCGGGACGGACAGCATGGAGATAGTTGATGGCAAGGCTGGAAGGGGAACAAGGAAGAAGGTGTCGTAAATTCCACTGGAAGCGTAAGTTGCGCATCGTCCCTGGGCCGTAGGTTTGTGCTTGCATCCGTGTAACGAGGCACTGAAGCTGAGAGTGTGGTGCTGCCAGACGCGGATCTCTGGGAGGCCTCAAAGAAAAGAAAGAAAGAATATTGACGGCGATCTGAAAGTCGAACAACTTACGCGAGCACGGAAGGTGAACAGTGACGGTGTCCTCGGTATGTTTGCAATGTTGAAGATAGATAGATACCACCGGCTGACATGCTCCGCGATTGCGTTGTGAAGACCAGGGATGCGTTTGGCTGGAACATTAATGTCGTTAAAGGCAGTAAGGAACCTTATTTCGCGCAAGCCGGAGTTGCCTTTAACACAAGAACTGCCAGAGGCAGTAGCGAAAACATTACTCTCACTGTCGCATTGCAACATGACGCGTTGACCATGTAGAAACGGACGCCAGAGTTTGAGTGCAACCGTGATCGAGCATGAAACTAAATCCACATAAACCCACAACATCAGCCTACTGAAGAATACCAAGGACTATCGGCGCAAAGAGAGAGAAAACCAGCGATCTGCCTACAGACACCTCAAACAGGAAGTACAAAGGGAAAATTTAATAGACCTGCCTTTGTAGCGCTTCTGTTTTGTTATATAATGGAATTCCTTTTATATTTCTATTTTTTCCAATGCGTATTTACAAATGGAAAAACATGAAAGGTTTTCCACCTACCAAAACGCTCATGCAGGACAACGTTAATCAACTCACGTTGGTAGATAGTTCGTGTTTCGGAAGCTTTTGACCGTTAATTGATTGACGACCACCGTGGGCTCGAATGATTGGTACATCGAGCATCTGCCAACGGCATTACGACCTTAAAGCTGCTGCTGTTTTCAGCTGGAAATGACTCATTCAGTTCTCACCAAATGACTTGTTTTTCAGGTCAAGTTACCTATTTATGGATCTGTTTATGTTACACTCTACTCAATCTCGCACAGGAACTACTACAAAACTAATTTTCGATCCCATAATAATAAGTAACCTGGGGCTGGGCCCAGTCCCTCACGTTCTACTTGTAACATTTAGACGCTGGACGGTTTTTGTTCATTAACTTTGAGCAAACACTCCACTGGGGTCGGGGAATCGCTCGGCGAATGCATTCGCATTTTTCAAGGGAAAGTCGTAATGTAATTCGTCCGCCACATTCACGAGTTGCTCCAGAAGAGCCCTTTGATTATTTATCTTACCAAGCAAAGTGTTTCCCGTAATTCTGCCGAATTACGTATACTCTTGGGTTATGCGCGCGCAACAGTCGTAAATTTGCGCGCAAACAGTTTGACGTCATTATAGGAGATAATTGTTCTTGGCTAGTAATAGAAAGGAAACATGTTTGGAGGGAGAGGAAAAGTGAAAGCCTGTAATTTTGTTCACAACGACGAAATATGGTGAGTCGATATAATTTCCCTTCATTTTTTCTTTACTCGTCGTTTAACTCCTCCTAGAGCAGTTCTACATTTGACTCCCGGTCTTGTATCTCTCGCGCAAGCAGCTGTAGTGAACTGTCGTCGATTCTTCACATCAGAGTGGGTTTGATCCAGGTCTTTCTACGATCAACGGAGGACCCCTGGGAATTCCTGTTGGGAGGATGCCCCCTCCAAGGTTTGCCAAATCGTGACCATTTCTTTTCCCTCACCCGTTTTCAAACCTTTACACGCCTTTCGAGAACCATATCTCTTGGCCTCTAAAATCCAAATCCGTTAACTTTTAAGACAGCTTCTCTGGATTTCAGACTCTCAGAAAGAAATATTCAAAATCGATATTTATTTTTACATCAAAACGGCCAGGCAACAGAATTACCCTTGGAGGGGCACTTGTAACTATGCAGCTTTCATTATATTCGCGCTCCAGGAATAGTGAATACATTCCTGATCAGGTTTTGATATCATAAAAATTCTTGTTTTTCGGCCATTTCAATTTCAGGAGAAAGAGAAAACATACAGCGGTAACAAACATAACAAATAGATTACGCATGGTATATTCAACTTGACGTTTTGCATGTTACAACACACATCTTCAGAAGTGACGGTTACAAAATATGACAGAATTTAAAAAGACTAAAATTAAAGCGGGTTATTGGTAACTAGCTAGACAACAATGAACAAAAGAAACTACATCCGGTGTGAATTAATAAAGAAAGAGTTTTTCACTACCGACGTTTTCATTTAGGGCGAGTTTTAAGTCCCGTATTAACAATGTGTCCTGGATTTTACACTATAAATCACATTGCCTACTTGTTAGGATCTCGAAGTCCCATTTAATGTTCTGAGCAGTAGAAGTTGAATGATCAGCAACAGCGGAAGCGTGACCAAGTTTAGTGAGAGCTTTGAAGTGCTCCGTCTTTCTGTCATGCAATCTTCTTTTGGTTTTACCAATATAGAAAGCATCACAGTCCCAGCCAAGAGAAACTGGCTTTGTAGACAATCTTTGATTTCTGTGAGCGGTTGAAACGATCTTTGTAAGGAAAAAGAAAGACTTTGCAAGTGTTCTGAAAAATAACCCTGAGGATGATGAGACGATAAAACCTATTGGCACAAGATTTTAATTGGCGTGTAAGAGCATCACTATGGAAACCTAAATAAGGTAAAACAAGAATTACATCTTTCTTGGGAACTGTGAGAGTATGTTCTGAAGGCCTGTCCTTATGTTTGGTCAATACATCATTAACGTTATAGTTAATTATGTCTATCGGATAACCATTTTGAAGCAAGGAATTCTTCAGATCAGATAGAGTCGACTGCAATAAAGTGGACTCTGAACTGATGCGTAAGCAACGATAGGTAAGTGTTCCGATTAGATTGATCTTATACTTTCTGGGAGTAAAGGAGTCCCACTTGGTGTAGAGACCGGTGAAAGTCTTTTTGTGGTGTACAGTAGTTGAAATTGTGTTGTGATCACGCTTGATACAGACATCCAAGAATGGAATCTCTCGGTTCTCTTCAAGTTCCGTGGTGAATTTGATGTTGAGAAGTCTGCTGTTAAGAAAATGTAGAAATCTGGAAGCGGTGTCTTTACTGTCGAATATGGAGAGTGTCATCCAAGTATCTAAACCAGACTGAGGGGGGCTCATTATTAGCCAACCAGCTCTCCTGAAAATGACACTCAAAATGTTAGCTAAGACAGGTCCTGATGGAGACCCCATCGCGACACCATCGATATTGACCATCCAATATGAAGTGGCTTTTCTTCGTTGCAAACTCAAGCAAACCTTTGAGGACTGATCGTGGTAATGTAGGAAGATCAGGAAGAGAGTATAATTTGGTAAGACAAATTTGTATTGTCTCGTCTAATGGGACATTGGTAAACAAGGAGCACACGTCAAAAGAGCAGATATTTTCATTGTTATGTTTATGTGACTTCACCCAGTCTACAAAAATGAAGGAGTCCTTGATTGTGAATTGGTTCATGGAGATCGGCTTTGATATACCTTACCAACGAAATATTTAGAAAACATAGAACAAATTCTGAGAAAAGGATTGATCATAGATCTTACCTTCCATGAGTCCATGAGCCATGAGTCCATGAGCCATGAGTCTAGCTGACTGCATAAAATATCTCTCTCACTATGAAGGAGTTGTTGGACATGGGGTAGTATCACAAGTTGAAGCCAATAAACCGAATTGTGGCAACTGGTAAGATATGAAGGATCAAAACCATGGTCTTGCCATATACAGCTGTGGTAGTGCAGCATGATGACAGCATGTAAAACAGTCGGTAGACTTGAGTGCGGGAATCTAATTTTGAATCAACACAAATAAACCACATCCACAAGGAATACTTCAGACCTTATTCATCCAGAAAGACAATTAAGAAAGCTTAACACTTATCTTGCAACAGAAGTGAGTGAACGAAAAGCATGCTAGCAAAACATGTGGCAAATAACGAAGATGTCCAAGTTTAATAACAGATACCAAAGCTGTGACTCCTAAATACCTACTACATGCAAACCATAGTCAAGCAGCCCTACTCAACTGGAAACCATTGTAATAACAAAGTATATGGTTCTTTCAGAAGAAAGTGCAAGGCTAAACAGGTCAGAAAATTACAACTAAGAGAATGGCTAATGAGCAAATTCCATTAACTGTTGGAGTCATCAGAGTCGTGTGGTCGGCATCAGATGACATTTCCTAGCCAATCTAGAATGGCTGCATCAATAAATTTTAAATTTAGGTCCCTGTCTGGTCTTGGGACAAAATGAAGACCGGCCTTGACACAGCAGTGGAGATTAAACTTGCATAAATGTATTTAAAGTGACAGTTCACAAACTGGAGTTTGTGTTTTGTTATGCTCTAGTTACAGTTACAGACAGTTAAATTAAATTTGCAGGTATGGTACATATGGAACAGGACTGGTTTGATTCAGTTTTTGTTCTATCTACTGCAAAGACGGACAATTTATTGTGACATTTAATAGCTCCATTAAAAATGTCCTTTGATACAGTTGAAAGTCAGTTGCAAAACATTTTTAACCAGAATATAATGATATTTTGGGGGTAATCAGAAACATTGTAGACTAAAAGTTTGTTAGAAGAAGGTGGTGTTGTAAAACACAAGCCAGGGGCCATTGTTTCTGCTGCTTCCCTCAGCCCCACTAATACACATACATACATACATACGTACGTACGTACGTACGTACGTACATACATACATACATCATTTATTTGTTTACGCAGGTCGGTATATAGGCAGCATAAGCTGATGTGGACCTGCGGTTAATTAAGAGTTACAAAATAAAAAATAAGAAACCTAATAAACCTAATAATTACAAAAACGTATAAAATTCTAAAATATGATTACAAGTTAACGAGGGTTTGAGATCAAAATTAAAATCTTCCCACTGCAAAAGTGGACTTACCAGAAATGATGAACAAAATGGCCGCCGCAGCGGACTTATTGCGTAGGAACATGGCATTTAAAAATGACTGAAACCTTAGAAGAAAATGTAGCGCTGATTAAAATAAAAAATTAACATACCTGGAGGTGCTATGGTTATTTCCCCGATCTCGTATTATTTTCCAGAGTATTTGGCAGATATCGATACCAAAATGCCAATGAAAGAAACGACCAGACCTCCATTGAAGTTCCAAGTGCATTTATACCGCCGCGTAATGGGACTATTTTGTGTTCTATCCTTCATTCCAATATCCTGTATTTGTCCAAAACATCCTCCCTTGAAATGTACGATGTTAAGCCTCCTAGAAAGGAATCGTGCTTCCACGATCTCGCAAAACCTTCTCCTGTTGTCGCAGTTTCTTTAGGCGTATTTCACTGTTTTCCTTGTGTAGAAATTCAGTTCCTCAGCAGTACAAAAGTACATATTTTTTCGGTTTAAATTCACGAGAAAGTTAACCGATATGCGCCTGTATTGTGCGTCTCTTTCCACCATTTTGGAAAATTTCAAAACAATCCTTTGTAACCTGGCTTTTTTAAGTAGGGACTTCATGTACAGGGACACAGAATGTACAACTTGCTCAAATGTCGTGCAAGAATGGTCAAGAATCAACATACTCAAATTAGTAAAATTAAAAGCTCTGAAAGACCATTTAACACTGAAATTTATATCTGACTTGCATTTTTGCCATTAGATAAGAAACACAAAACACAATCAAAATGTCAGATGTCCTCTCACAGTACATGCAGAAATCATATGAATGGGACATCAATGTCACAGATCCACCTTTGTCGTATCTGATGCAACGGGGGCAACAGGGAATATCATGCCAGACTTCAAATTGCTGTTGCTGCCAAAATACCATATGCCTTACTAAAGATATGGCATGAAAATGTCCAAGAGAGACGTGACTGTATTGACTTTCTCAATTTTACAGTTCCTGGAGCATGATTTAGGGTAAGTCGAGAGACAGGTTTTCGTATTCAACGCAGCCTAGAGAGAGAAGCAGGAGTTGTTGCCAGTAAATATAGGCAAACAAAAGGGAGAAAGAAGGAACAGCTCAATTCAAAATTTCTCACTTTGAGTATCCGCCTACATTCT